AAAAAAAAAAAAAAAATCAAAATCTCACTTCCTATAAAGTGTGACAGTCCAACAGGCTCTAATGAATCTGCATCAGTTTACACTAGCTGACAACTATGCCTGCCACTGGCTGGTAGCTAAAGAGTAACAAAAACTTCCTTCTCCTTGTGCTGCTCAAGACTCTGCCAAGACTCATTAGTGAGCAGAAAGAACAACACAAAACTTAAATTCTTTAAAGGGTTCTGGTCTGGGAAGGAGCTCGCTGGAAGTCATCAATAACTTAGTCAATGACAGCCAGCTCTTTACTTGGCAGCTCACGACTCCTTATAAATACTCCATAATCTATTTATGGTCTTACCAGCCATGGGGCAGAAACCAAATTTCTGGTCAGCATCATAGTTCTCGGTGGTTCCACACCACTTCATGTTGTCTCTCCGTCCCTCAGAAGTACAATCAGTGTAGTTGCGGTTGTTATACAGGAAAGGGAAGTGGCACAATGCACCATTGGAGTTGCCACCCCGTGTCTGGACCAAAACTGCATAAGAGTACAAAGGAAAAAGGTGCAAGTGAATCTTGTGCTCTCTTAGCAGGCATGAAGCACTTAACCACTAACTAACTATTTTTCCTTTCCCTGTATAGTCTTTATGATATTATCCATCAATCTCTTCTTGGCTTAAATTAATTCAGGTCTGGAAACACAAGCCTTAAACAAGGTCAATTCAGTTCAAACATTGCTGTGGAAAGAGCTGCTGGCACACCAAGGCACAGGAATTCCTGGGCAAGAGGGAAAACCAAAGCCTTCTGTGTTTGGGAAAGGCCTTTGCAGACTTCGTACCTGTGCCCAATACAATAATCTCAGTTCTCTTAGTACCTGTATTTTCATTGAGGCTGTCAGCTAGTTTCACCTTTTGGCTTAAAGTTTGAATTTTTAAAAAAATTACAACTTGGTTTTGTACAACAGCACAAGTCAACAATCTCTCTGCAGGTTGCAATCTATGTTTTGCAAGCAGCAATGGAAAGAGGAATTTAATCTACGTGAACTATTCACCTCTTGAGCAACTGGTTTACAAGTAATGGACAATAAGGAAGCATTTGCTTAGGTTTTTCTGTATTGGTGTTTCTTATTCCCACGATTATCACAGGAAGTGCTGCTCAAACAAGAATGTGTGGGGGCAAGGAGAAGAGAGGGGTTTTCTTTCTTTAAAAGGGCTGAGAGAAGAATTTGGCTTGTATGAGAAAAAAAAATAGGAGTATTTTCTCTGTACATTCTCTCCAGGCTCAGATCCCAGAGGAGGCTGCTTGAATACTGTTCCATGTATGTCTGTCTGATGGACTTCCCAGGAAGTGTAACCACACAGGTAGGTTTGTGCTGTAAAGGGAACACAACCATGTGCATTGAAGGGAATGCTGCTGCATTAGTCACGCACCATCTCTTGAGCATGGTGACCACAAATCACAACAGGATTACTGCTATATATGGCAGCCTGGCTAGAGCATCAAGACTGAGGGAGTGAAGAGGACTGTGCAAATTGTGCTTCATGGAGATCCTCTCTTTTGCAGCCTAATATGGGCATTGGCTCTTATAACTCAGCCAAGCAAAGACAAAGTCTAAGTATCTCTGGGGCTTGAGCTCTACTCTGACTAGGAATTCCTGTTCTTCTCTCTTCCCTGGACTGAGCTTAGAACAGAACAGAACTCTAACGCTCTACCAATGTCAGCCCAAGAGCACCAAAACATCCTGCCTCCAGATAATCCTCAGCCCACACAGCTGCCTGGATGTTGGGGCATGCCTGGAATCCCCCCCAATTGCAGGACTGTTCCAACAGGCTGCTGCTACAAGCTCTGCTCCTTCTACCATCTCCTTGTGAGGGCCACGCATCTGTGAAGATCCTCGGAGAGGAACCTACCATTCTGCTCTGTACAGAAGGAGTATCTCCTGTCTTGCTCAAAGTTGGAGGTGGTGCTGCACCAGAGGTGCCCATCTGTACGGCCTTCAGTGGTGCAGGAGTAGAAAGTCCTCCCATCATAGGTGAAAGGCAAAACACAGGCTTCTCCATCAGAATTGCCACCATATGTCTGAGTTGCAGCTTTAACACAAACAAATCACAGCATTAGATTCCGGCTCAAAGCAATCCCTGATCTTAGGGCTCCAAAACAGCAACAGCCTCTCTGGGACAAATCTCTGGCTGCTGTGAACCCATACTGACTTCAAAGGACCTGGGCCAATACACACCAGCTGAAGACTTATTTCCAGAGCTGTGTCATTCTTTTATACTCTTTTCCAAATATATACTATTGCAGCTTGCTTTGAATAAAATTACTAATGCTGCCCAAGGGCTCTGTTTTCTCTCTGCAGGTTATATATAACTCACTGGGAAATGTTTGTACCCTCCAGAGCCAGGCTTCAAATAATTAAAACAGTTATTACTTTCCCCCTTGAACTTTTCTCCAATTTTTGGTCTTCCTCTGGCCCAAAACACAAATTCATACCTATTTCCCGGCAGCTGACTCCATTGCCCAGGCAGGTGCAGAGCATTTGCTGGCTTCCCTGTGTCTTGAGCCACTGCATCCCCACGGTGTAGACCACTCCGTTATCTGTGATGCACTGACCATATGGCTGAGGCTGGGGCTGTTGAGGTTGTGGCTGGTACAAAGCAGTCTGCAAATTTGTAAAGCTCGGAGAGCCAGAACCTGCAGCAGGACATGGGAGAAAAGTGAGACTGGATATCTGGCATTACACGCAAAGCTAAAGAGAATGCTTCTATTAAATGCTGAGATAATAAAGTCTTAGGTACTTTTCACCAAGTTAAAGTTACAACACTCTTAGCTTCGCTAAACACATTAAATATTCCTTTTTATACCACTAATCTGAGCTCCATTTAACAAATTCCAGAATTCAGAACAACTCTCAATTCTAATGATGGCCTTCAATTTCTACCACTGGAGAGTGGCTTTAGGAAGGATTAAAAATATAGTCACTTTCATGGGAATTGTGGAAAATGAAGGATTTGGGTTTTGTTTTGGAAAAAGCATTTTAGTGTATGGAAATCTAGAATAATAAACTAAGACCAATAAGAAGCACTGAGAAGGTAGGAGAAAGAGGCAAACAAAGAAAGTATTCATTTTGAGTTCTCCAGGGTTGAAGCAGAAAAACAAATGTATTCCTTTATTCTAAAATTTTTCAACATTGAATCAAAGTTTTTGGCCAGTTATCATTCTGACTAACAGTGAGAGACAAAAACGTTTCTTGTCTATACTGTGGACATTGCTGTTTCCCACAGCAATCCCCTCAAGTCAGCTCTGCTGAAAAAGAGAAAGTAAAGCCAGCAAAGCAGTGGCAGTCCTTAAGCTCTGTGCATTTTGAAGTGTAGACCTTCTGAGATATTGAGCCTAAAACACTGGCACCTACAGTCAAATCTTACCAAGAAAAACTCAATGTACGTACTACATGAAAATGTAGGGAAGATTTACTCTGCACACAGAAGAAGGAAAACTAGATCCTTAAAGTGGCAAGAATGAATTTAGGAGCCATACACATTGACAGAACTTGGGCAGAAGGGTTACATTACCTCCCAGATACTTTATAGCAAAATTACAAGATATATGATGTTCATGTTTTAAACAAACAGGATTGTATACATCCTGTGATGCTGCTATTCTCTGAAGCTCAACGAGAGGTGATTTATTTTGTCAAAGAAATTATACAAAGGAGAATTTAAATAAAGTTTGAATTACTAAGGCAAATGCACCAAATCCATATATTAACTCAAAGTGTCATGTTTCCAAAATGGAGCTAGAGGATATTTCCTATAGATGCATTATCCTAGATATGTGATTTATTGCATTGTATCATGCATGCAACTGTATTTGTATGGGCAAACCCCATCTGGTCAAGGAAACCAAGTATACATTAATAATAACTATGTAGGCATAAAAGAAGGACCCTCTCCCGAACTCTGACCCTATTTTTCTTGCTAATCTTTCCCTGACAGAATTCCTAAATGCCTCAGTTAGGATGGTGCAATTCAACACCAAGTCCAATATGTGTCATACCATAGCTCTTCCCCTGCCCTAAACCCTATGACACCCCACTTACCAGTGCTAGTAGTGTGCAGGGATGTATGTCTCTCACACTTCCATTCACCTCTGCCATTACCAGTACAGATGCACTGAAGCAAATTTCCACGATTATCCTTCTTGCTCCAGGTGTCTCCAATTCTGTAGGAAGTCTTGGTGTCATGGTCATTGCACCTATCTGGATAAGGAACACGGCCATGTCTATTAGCAAGTTCCACACTAGATGGCTTGAGCATGCAATTAAAAGTAATAAACAACCAACAATAGAAATGAGCAGATAATAATAGGCATTACTAAAGGCTTGTTGAGAGCAGTCTTAATTTTCTGTAGCCTACTATTAGGAATCCTATATACATCAATGCCTGCATTAAATCTCATAAGCTAGAAAAAGTCTGAAAATTCTGATGCTAAAGACCTCTAAGGAAAAACTCACACTGACTTCCAGAACAGAAATTCCACTTTCAAGCTATGATCTCAAACAGCACCAAAACATTCCCAATTTCAAGAAGGTAAGCTACATTCAAAAAGTGACAAAAAGCAAACACTTTCTACCTCCCCCCGCCCCCCCCCCCACTTTTTAAATCAGTGATCATTCTGGAAAACATTGGCCATGAAAGGTACACAACAGCAACAACATACTGAAGCATAATGCCATTCTGTGGGCTACAGCTATCATTTTGGCCTGAGAGATTCAAATTTATGTATTTGATTACATTTGAATAACAAAATGAAGAGGCCATTATTCTACAATTTTCCCTGCGGTGCAACAATGCAGACCTGAGTTTTGGGAGGAAAAGACACTGCCAAATCATTTTTATTAGTAATAACATCTCCACAATTCACAAACAAGACTGGGTTTTATTCTTTCCTATCTGACAGTTAATGATTTTTCCTGGTGTGCTTCTAACAGAGTTAATATTGTCAAGGCTGATTTGATTTTTATAGCTTATTTCTTGACCAAGTCTCCCCAGATCTTCATTTTTAATCCCAATCCTCCTTAGCATTTTAGTTCTTTACAGTCTGTTGTTTACATCAGCAGAAAGCTATTATCCATTTTCCAAAGGCAACAGAGTATGAGGCAATTTAAGCTCTGCAGAAGAGCTTCCCAAAACTTGCACAAGGAAGGTGCAAGGTACAGAGTTAGATTTTGAGGCAGCTGGTGTAAACTCTGATAGCCCCACAGCAGAGTCTGTTCCTACCAAAAGCCAAACAGGGGTTAGATAAGCAAAGGGGGTTGCAGGTTTTAGCCCAGTCTGCTTTGCAAACAACGATACGATGGGTATTTACACCAGCGTAGCTCACTGATATGGAAACCCAGCGAAGCCATTTGAGCCAGTAAAGTGTGTTTACACTGAAGACTTAAAATGGTGGGAAAAAACAACAGGGTAGATGTGGCAGTAGATAAAATAAACCCTATTTGAGCTATCACATATATGCGAACTGTAGGAAAGGGGGAGGGGAAATGCTTAAGATTATGTTTTTAATTTGGCAGACACCACTCGCTGGACCAGATGTCTCTCTAAAAGGGCCATATTCTCCCTCAAGAAAAGGTTATTTAAATAGCCCTCAAAAGGGCCAGATTAAGCCAAAAATCTGTGCAGCTATGCAGACAAAGCAACTCTGCTGACTTCCTGAGCGAAGCCAGGCCACAATGCCTTTTCTGAGCAACTTCTTTTCCTACAAAGCAGGCTAAACCCAGAAAGCGCCACTTACTTCTGGAGGTGCAGGTGATGCGGCCGCTGCCCTCGCCCAGGCAGGTGCAGTCCACCATCATCCAGCCCTGGTAGGGCTTCTCCCAGGTCTCGCCCACCACGTAGGACGTCCCGGCCGCGTTGTCGTAGCAGCGCTCGGCTGCAGGAGGCAAAGCCAAGTTAGCCATGGAGGAGGCTGCAATGGCCATGGAGGAGAGAGGAGGAGGAGGAGGAAGGGAGCCAGCACCTACCGACGGGCTTGCAAGTCCACTCGCCCTTGCCGTTGCCCAGGCAGACGCACTCCAGCATGTAGCCGCCCGTCTCGTGGGGCCGCCGCCAGGTATCGCCGATCTTGTAGGACTGGCCGCCCTCATGGCAGCGGTCTGTGGTGCAACACAGGGAAGAACGTGGCTCAGGCCCACAGCTATGGTGCCCCACCAGGCGTGGGGGCCAAAATAGCTGCCAACCTCCTCCACAAAATGGTGCCTGCCTGCCTCCCTCCACCCTAGCAAAGGTAAGCATCACTTGCGGGCCAATACCTCTTGCCAAAGCCTGCAGCTTGGGTACCCAAAGGCCTGAGGAGACCTGCATGGGAGAGTTTTCACCCTCAGGAGGGTCACTGCACCCTCAGAATCTGTGTGCAGCCGGGTGGCAGGAGGGGGGGGGGAGTGCGCCGCCATTTTGTCTCTCCGCTGCACCTCTGCAGGCCCGGCTGGCAGTGCTGGGCACTGCTCCTCCCTCACAGGTGCAGAGACTCCCATCTTGCCAGGGCTGCATCCTGGAACCCAGCAGCCTGCGGCCTCTCAGCCAGCCCAGCAGCCAGCCCATGGTCTGTGGGCTGCCCTGCTTCATGGCGGTTCGCAAACATGTGCGCCGCCATTTTGTCTCTCCGCTGCACCTCTGCAGGCCCGGCTGGCACTGCTGGGCACTGCTCCTCCCTCACAGGTGCAGAGACTCCCATCTTGCCAGGGCTGCATCCTGGAACCCAGCAGCCTGCGGCCTCTCAGCCAGCCCAGCAGCCAGCCCATGGTCTGTGGGCTGCCCTGCTTCATGGCGGTTCGCAAACATGGTGTCTCCTTCTGAAGAGGAACATGCAGTAAGCTGTTTATCGGGAACTGCAAAGCTTTCCTTCGGCTCCTTCAGGTTAACGGGAAAGCTAAGAGTTATGAAGACTTATGCAAAGCCAGCTATGGTCCTTGCAACTCTCCAGCGAACTCTAACCCCGGATGCTGATGGGGAAATCAGACTGCTCTTAGGTTTGCAATTTCCTCACTCACCCTTTCCCTTCTTACAAGGCTTATCGGCACTGCCTGGTAAACTGCCATTAAATTTGGGGTGGTTTTAGTTCTCCTTATTAGAGTCAGTGAGTTTCTTTCTGTAGCATCATGATGGCTGAGGGTTTCTGAGCTACATTTGGACTCAGTGCTATGGGGCTCACACAAAACTGGATGGTTGGAAGAGCAAGACTTTTATCCAGAGGTGCCTAAGAGACTCTGAATCTTCAGTCTGGAAGTCCCTGCAGTACAACCTTCATCCCACTGCTCACAGAGAGCCTAACTGAGGGAAGGGAGATGGTGAGCAGTCAGGCGACTCAGCGAGGAAAGGACTTTCCAGACAAAAAAGGGAAGACTGAGGAGAAAGGGACGAGGAAAGAAGAGGAATAAAAAGGAAACACATGAGGTAGGCCAGTGAATAAAGCCTTGCAGAAGCATTCCAAGATGTGCGAAGGGATTTCACCTCCCACTTCCCTCATCGGCCAGCAGACAGACTCTCATGTGGTAGATATTCACAACTGAAGTCCTGCTAAAGCTGATGGTGCTGTTCTGACTCAACAGCAGCATATTAGTCCCCCATCCCAATCAGAAAATCACTTTTAAAGGTCTCTATGAAGATGTAACATGCTCTTATAAATAGTAAGCATACTAATCTGCATGGCAGGACACTAATAAAGTCAGTTTGGACTTATGTTTTTATAGGTGACACTTCCTCTTAAATAAAAGAGGAATTTGCTTGTGCAAATGTTTCTTCTCTCTATAGGCACATGGGGCAAGGACTTTCAATTACATTTTTAGGGGGCTTTGATCCAAAGCCCATTACTCCAGCTAATAGAGCTAACAGCATTGGGAGTATTGTGTAAGCTGCCATGGAAAATATGACACTAAGGAACAATAGCACTAGTAATAGGCTCTTGGTTACATACTGGCAATGGTGCAGCTGATTCTCCCACGTCCAGCTCCAATGCAAGTACAGTCCCAGATCATGGAATCCTTGGGGCGCTCATATGTCTCCCCTACTCGGTAGGTGGATCCAGTGTATTTGTCAAAGCAAGTTTCTTCAGCTGTTAGGACAAAAAAAAAAAAAAGGGAGCTTCATGTAACCACACAAGTAAAACCAGCATCAACAAAAGAAACTATTTCTCCTGTCCGCAGACTGATGTTGGTCTTTTCTTCCCCCTCAAGGCAAAAATGCAGATTAGTCACCTCTCTCAGAACAGCACAAATTGGGTGAACTTCACCTATCCCAATATACTCTTCATTTTACTCCACCTATACTACTTCACCCATACTCTGCTTCATCTATACCCGCAGCTTCCCACCCTCAGGGTACAAGAAGCTTAGCAAGGCAAGCGGCCAGGCATGCCCTGGAAGGACAAGTCCCATCTGTTTGAAGTGCAACAGTGCGGGGACAGGAGGGAGCAAGCATCCCTCAGAGGCTGTGTTTTGTCATGCTAAATCTCCTAATTCGAACCTGGCAAAAGCTTGTATACATTAATCCTGAATACTTCAGCAGTCCTGTTGAAGCCTACAGGAATCCTGTGAACTGTTCACACTCGCACAGGGGTAAGTGATTACAATGTGGCATGTCAGGCTGCCACCAGAACAGAGATGAGCAATGAAACAACCTTCTTGACTTCATGCTTGACAGATAGGGCTAACTATGCCATACAGGGAAACTTGCTATTGGAAGAGCTGGATTCACTGGTGAGGGAAAGAAAGAAAGAAAAGATTAAACTCTTATGGGAGAGTAAGAGGACTGAGTAGTACTTTGAAATGCTCTAGTCCTGAGACAGGCAGCATGCAAGCCTTCCAAGACAGCTCAGTGGGATGCTCCATCTGTCTTATAGAAGCATTATCAGCCAGGAATCAGTTTCTCTCATTTCTCCAGAGCAACGTAAAGGATTTATGACAAACCAGTGGCTACAGACCAACAAAGACAGATTGCATCTGATCATTCTAAACTACACTGTATCCCAGAGACACATCTTCCAGCAGATGTTGGGCTTGGAATTTTTTCTGTTACCCAGACTTTTTCTGCAGAAGACTAAACAATCTCATTTTACACTCACTTATAGAAAGCTGACAGCAAGGCTGGGGGCTGTGGAAAGCTGTAAGTTGAAATATTTTTAAACACGCTGACGACACTGCGCAGCTATGAAAAGTCGGGGTGAGACAATCAAACGGGGCAGAGCCAGAGCTGCAAAGTGACTCCAGATTTGAACTTCCCCGTGCGAGCCCGCGAGTCAGCTCAGCGCGTTACAGAGAAGAGGCTGGCTCCAAAGTTAATGCTTAGATCCCATCCTCCGGGGAGATGAGCGATATTTGGCCCCCGGTCCTGGTAGCAGGCCCATCGTTAATGAAAAGCGTTTCTCAAAACCTCAAGCCTGATCTTCAGCGGGATGGAGGCAGATCCGATACCGACCCCACGCACCGCGCTGCACCAGCGGGACACCCCGGGCGCCCGTTACAGCGTGCTGCAAGGCTTGGCTTAGCCGGGCGGCCGTGCAGAGGGAAAGGCAGCGCCAACTTACGCTCGGGCTTGCTCTCGCAGTTGAAGCCCCTGCTCCCGCCGTAGCAGGTACAGACGAGCGTGTTCCCCAGGTAGATGCGCTCCCACTGCTGGTTGATCTGGTAGTAGCGGCCGTTGTCGTAGCAGGTCTCTGCGGAGAGAGGAGCGGGTTAGCGGGAGCG